TCTCTCTCTCTCTCTCTCTCTCTCTCTCTCTCTCTCTCTCTCTCTCTCTCCCTCTGTCTTCCGGATGCTTTGTGCGCTCTCCTGATGCTGTCATTGAAGTTCCGCCACGTGTCTCCTTCGTTCGTTCCTCCTCACGTAACTGGCGGAGGTAGACGATGAATTCATCATAGTCCTTCCAGTCTTCCTCCATAGCTTTCTTGCTATCGGGGGATAAGACCCTCCTCCTCTTGCGAGTCTGCCTTCACTGTGGGCGTGAAGGAGCGTCGGGCCACCATTCGTCGCAGGAGGATGAAGAGAGGTCTGGATCGTCTATCATCCTCCTCTCCCAAGGCTCAAACGAATGGGCCATGGAGGACGCGGGGGGGAAGGGGGGGGGGTCTTCCCTTGCCACCGCGACTTTGTCTATCGGTTCGTTTTCCCATAGACTTTCTCCAGCTCCCCGGTCTCGGGCGCACCTTGATTTGCGCTGCTTCCCGCAACCTCCTTCATTACCGTGTCTCGGATAAGTTTCTTTTCCGCCCCTGCCCGCCGAGTGGTGATGTTCACCCTATCATGTCCATTACTCTCTAGAATGAAATTGACTTGTGCTCCACGCCCCCGCGGCTGGTCCCAAACAATGTCGGCTACCGGCTCGACTTCTATGGCGGCTATATCCAGGTTATTAAGGATGATGACGGCACGCCGCATTCCGCCCCGGGGGCCCGAAATTTCGCCTTTAAGGGACATGCTACATCTTTGCCTCATAATATCGTGATTGAGTTTTGGGCAGGTCCACACAAAGTGTCCTACCAACGTGCAGTATCTGCACTGCTCATTGGTCGGGTCCTTCCTGTCGTATCCTCGGTTGGCTACTGCTGCCGGAATTACGACCTCTTGGGGCGGGAGGGCGGGTCGGGATACTTGCACCTGCATTACCAAAAGTGCATTCTCCACCCTCTCTATCTTATTGTCAACCCCGTGCACTTGTTCGTGCAAGCTTTCTATCCCCTCCTTCATCTTGTCTCCCGTCTTTTCGGTCAAGTCTATGACCTCTCCTTCTTTAAGCAAGGCTAATGTTTCGGTCACCACCATCTTTTCTGCGAGGTCTGTTACCGTGCTGAAGTCTACGTCCCTTGTGTACTCAAACTTGCTGGTCTGTTGGTTGGCCAACAGAATCTTATCCTTGTCGAACTCGGAGAAATGTCTAAGGAAATACTTGCTCATGAACCGGTCTGTTACCCCGGGAATCCATCACGCCACTACAGTAAATGCCCTCAGGAAGTCGTTGTGAGTTGCTTCCTCTGAATAACTGCCAATTCTGCTTCTGTTGCCATTTTCTCTGCCTTTAGGTATTTTCTCATCATCTCATTTCGGGTTTCCTTCCAGGATCCGCTGGCAGCGACGATGGCCATTATGTCCCTCTCCAGGCTCAGCGACACGTGCTGCCCTAGGTGATCCATATTCTCTTCCTCACTCCATTTCAACAAGGCTGCTAGGTTCTCGTAGTCTATTAGGAATTCTGTAATGTTCGCCCCATCGAAGGTGAGTTTCCTCTTGGCATCCGCGAGGTACCCCTGATTTTTGTTCAGCGCCCGAGTGAGGGTGGATACTATCTTCTTGAGTCCTCCCTCAGAGCTACCTGTTTCGCCCGCCGTACTAGTCCTTTCTTCTTCCTTGCTATCCTTCTGCCTTTCTCTGGTTTTCGTTGTTCCTTCCGGATCGAACCATCCTAACACCCTTTCCCTGAGGCACCAAAGTCCGTCACAACCCTTTGTTATTTTCGGGGCGGCAGGCAAGCGACTAGCACCACTGTCTATGGCAGGTGGGTTCGCAACTTTTTTCGCTTCTACATCCGGAGAGTCCCCTTTCTCCTTCCCTCTTTTGCTAGGAGTCCTCCTGTGGCTACTATCCTTCCTTCCGTGCCCGATTCCGCCCTGGCTGGTCCTCCGCTCTTCTCGTGGTTCCTCCCCTGGACGGTCCCCTTCATTCCCAGCCATCATTTCCTCAATAAGCTTTGCCTTATACTCCACGGTTCGCTTTTCTATTTCTGCCAGCTTACGCCGCACATCCGAGACTTTTACTTTCTTGGATATGACCCCATCTGAGTTTCGCGGACTTGACCTTTCCTTGTCCCTTCCTTCCTTACTCTCCTGAGATCCTCGTTTACTTCCGCCGACTTTTCCCAAATTTTCCCCCATCGAGAGATCCTTTCCGTCTTCCTTGGTTCCTTCTGGATTCGCCGACTCTCGGTCCCTTACCGACCCTTCGTTTCGTTCCACGCCCCTTTCCGTGCCCTGACTCCCTCTGCTCCACAGGTTCCCAGCCTCTTCTTCTGACGCCATCCTTTCTATCCCTGCACATGGAAAAAAAAATTTGCGAAACGGTCGGTCGTTCACAGCTTCCCTAGTTCCCATGCCCTAAGGTCCTCCTTATTTTCGCCATTTCCATATTTTCCGTCTTATAATCAGTTGAGACGGCTTATCTGACGTTTTCTTACTCAGCAAGGTGCCGCTTACCTTTCTTCTGCCGGAAGGCTCGCTGCCAAGGTTCGGCGTTTTGTCACTATGGTGCCTCGGTTCTAAGGCGGTATCCAAGGTTGGCGGCTCTCCTCTCGAGGATGACCCTTTTGCCTTCCCGACTCCCGGATACCCTCAGCGTCCTTAGCGGTGATGGCCTTCCTAGTCCCTTCCTGCCGTGTTCTCAGGTAGAATATGACTCCGACCACTACCTTCCGCAGATGGTTAATCCCTCATTCTGTTTTCCAGCCTTTACTTTTGCTGCCTTTTTCCGGTACTTTTCTCACGCCGGTCCCTCATGCCTGTCCCGTTCGTTAGGTTCTTCGAACAGGTTAGCCACCCCCGCAAGGTAGTTTTCTCCCATTTCTATCTCCCTGATAATTATTGGTTCATATTCTTCGAACGCCAAGCGCGGTAATCCGAATATCGGGATCTCGATGAGTTCGAGTAGTTCACGGGCCCAATTTCCCCAAAACAGTCCATGCCTTACTGACACATCGTAAAACATTCCCGTCGTCTGCGGCTGGAAGTGGTGGATCCAGGTTAGGGTCGAGTCCACCAGGTCTTTTGCCCTCGAGAGGCTGCCGAATACCAGGTCTATCATGAAAGAGGGTACTCGACACCGCAATCCTGTCATCGGGGCCCTAAACTGTCGTCATCCTCCTTCCTCCACCCGAGTTCTCAGTCCTACATTCCTCCTCCCCCGAACCTCCTGACCTATCCGGTTTACTGCCCTGGCAGCCCTTCGGAAGACTGGCAGCAACCCATGTCCTAGTGCCATCTCGGTTCCTAGCATGTGCCATTCAATTTCTGGTAGGTACACGGTCCCCGTCACCCTCAAATCAGTATATAGATCGTCCCCTGGTCCCCTATTGAACCTCATACCACTCCAGAAACATTCTACCATCATGAACGCCTGATCCCTTCCCAAGGTCACAGCTCTCCACTCCGTGTCAATCCCTCGAACTATGTAGCTTGCCGGAAGTGACACCTCCCATCCGTCTCCGCTTTTCGTGGGCGGTCGACGGTGCGTAGGTCGTCGCGACATCCGGGTGCGTCTCATTGCCATCGTTGATTAGTGGTTCCCTGCACAGTTTAAACAGCAAGTGAGCCCTGCTTATTCCATCCATTCCTCCGACCACCACTTTCGGCAACTCCCTGGTTTTTATTCCGCCTTCCTTTTCTTCCTTATTCCCTTTTCTTTTCTTTCTCTTTTTATTGGCCTGCCTCCACTCCTGATAGCTCGTATAGGCGGCACAGGTCGTCCACGTAAATCAGCCCCCGGTCTATTTCTCTTCGGATGACGCCCCATAGAACCTCATCGCTAACAACTGGGACTCTAGGCCTTGTGGTGAATACGGCGCGCAGTATTCGCAACACCTCGTACCTCTGCTCACCATCGAACGGCCCCATCTCTAGAAAGGCCCGGTAATATTCTCGGTGGACCGTCGCTTCTTCAAACGTCAGGTTGGCGAGGTCGGCCACTGCCCGCCTGACAAGATCCATCCCGCCCAGTTTTTCTAGTAAGAAGGGTGGCAATCTCATTCAAACATTCTCACTAGGCGAATTGAAACTCCCGGTCATGGCCACCCTAAGGTTCGCTGTTACGTCGTCGAACTTCGGGTCCGCGAACTCGAACCCCGCCTGCCACACTAACTGCCATGCTTCTTCGAACATGTTTAACGGATCTTCCCCTGATGTTAGTAGGACTCCGAATGCGCGCCATCCATCCTCCGACATATACAACCACCCTTCCGCACGCACATGTCCCCGCGGGTCTGGATTCCACTCGCCATCCCCATCTGCGCGCCATTCAACCTTGGTCACCAGGTAAACCGTGTTTTCCATAAGCTCGACCCCGACCCAATCCACCGTCGGGTACCGGATCTCATTTATGGTGGGTAGGCTGATTTCTACGCGGCCGGTCACTTCCCTTGGCGGCTCAATCCCCAGTGGGCGATCCTCGAGGAACGTCCTCCTTCGTGTCATCGCATGTCCTTTACCCGCCTTCGATCCTTATCATGTGACGCCGCAGCGATCCCCACAATTGTCGGACACCCCATTCCCTGTCTTAGTATTCTTATCCTTGGCTGGTGCGCATAATATACATGTTCTCTCATCTACGTCACCCCCTAATTTTCCCCTTCCTTCTTCTTTTCTCCCCTTACCCCCTAGCTTACCCTGCTAGTTCGGGTTTTTCCCGCTCCTAATCGAACCACATTACTTCGAATAGTTTGAACACATCATTCACATAGCAAGGTGTTGCCGCTACCTCTCTGCGGATTATGGCTTCCCTAACCTCTGGGGCTACTTTTAGCTGATCGTACCTGTCCATATTCAAAATGATGAGGACCTCCCAGGCTGTGTCGTCGTGGAATGGTCCGAATTTCAATGATGTTTTATAAAACTCTTCTGACAGACACGCACAATCCACATATATCCACCCCATAGTGCTGGCCACCTCTACGTGGTAAAAACCCCCAAACCAGTCCGCCACGAACTTGGGTACCCAAATCTTGGTTCGTAGACAGGGTGGTCTAAACTCCTTCCATCTCCTCATCACGACCTTACTATGGACCACATCCCATCCTTTGTTGGCAAACCTCTCGCCTGCCCTCCGAGTCCTTGCCTCGGTGTTCCCCAGAAGCCACATCGGACTTTGTCGTGCCGCAAGTGTCGTGCAAAATAGATGTCACCTTTGCTCGGAGAGGATGACCGTCCCGACCAATTCCACCCTTCCTTCTGCAATCTTCTCCAATCCTTCCTCTTCCCTTATCGGGTTCCAGATGTGTTCTACCCATAGGTACGATACTTCTGGTACAATCTTGAGTCCGACCCGGTCACATGTGGTCCCTCTCCATTCATTATCCGCTGGTATGAACATTTTTACCCCCCCTTCGACTCGTTTCGGCTCCCATCCTTTAAACGTGCGGTCCCTTAGCAGTAGTTCCCTGACCATCGCTTCCTTCCTACACAGAGCAGACCACCCATTTCCCCGGGTAAGCTTCCCCTCTCAGAAGTCTCAATCCTCTATCTCGTCATCGTTCCCGCCGTCGCTGAAATCATCCTTTTCATCATATAACAATTCCCTCAACCCTTCTAAGAAGGTATCTCCTACTGCCACATTTCGGTAAAATATCCGCCAATGCACTGGACTAGGGACAAAAACATCGTCTGCGCTAAGGAGATTTAGTATATCGGCTAATTCCTCCGCCCAGTTCCCTCCGAACGGCCCCATTTCCACCGACAACCTGAAGAAGTCCTGTCGTGCACACTGGTACAACCTCAAGTTTGCCATTGACCGACATATTTGCTCCAATCTATTCCGGGTTCCAAAAACCGCGTCCACCAAAAACGGGGGTATTACGCATCTCATCGTTCTGAGGGGTTGCCTCACATTTCTTCTATCTCCGAGCTCCACTCGCACCTCTACTTTGTTCCTCTCCATTTCCGCCGGCCGACATGCTCCCCATACTACCTCCCGCTCCGCCTGCCTAAACAGCAAGTCCGGGGCAATCCCCAATACCAATTCTATTACAATCGCATTTTTACTTTCCTGGGATAGGTAGACCCACCCTCGGCCTTCCACCGTCCCCCGGTATTCCAAGTATATCAAGCTCGGCAACAGTTTCGTCAGGCTGACCTTAGTCTATATCGTCTCTATCCAGAGGAACGCGTCCTTCTCGTCCAGCATCACAATTTGATAAGCTGGCTCCAGGTCTGTCCACGTTCCTTCCTCTGGGAGGACGACGGATACCTCGTCCTTTACATCTTCCAACATTTCCGGACCGCTACAATAGATTGGAGACGACAACCACCGCGCCATCTCGTTTTCCAGTCCTCGGTTCTTGTTTTTCATAAGAGAGCACCGCACGGCCCCTTTGGTCAGACTAACTTTTTTCCTAGATGAGAATTATTTCAGACCCCTCATCTAGGTCTCCCTAATTTCCCTCGCCCATTTCCCGAGTATTGTCGCCCCGTTGCACCTTCAATCGGTCACCGTTAGCCGGCATTCCTTCTCTTGGTTCCTTTCCTTCCGACTCCTATCCTTGCTCCTTTCCATCTTCTCTCACTCGTGCAGATTTAGATAGGGGGCAAGAATAGGCTTGAAAATATGGTCCCTTCCCAACAGTCTCAAGCAGCTTTATAGGGGGAGACGCGAAAAAGAAACAAAATCAGACAATCCTCGCACACAGGCCGGTCATCTCCTCACCGGCCTTTTCCCAAAAGTGGTCTCTCCACTGTTACCATCGACAAAGTTTTATCCCGTACCTCAAGCACAGCTCAACCGTCGCGAGCGCGGTACCCAGACTCCAGTGGGGGCACACCCTCACCTTCTTGCCCAGAATACCCCATCCCGTCTTGCCGCTCTTGCACACCCCCGTTGACACCGGGAATCACCTCGTGTACTCGGTGGGGACAAAAGTCAACCGTCCGGGCATTCACTCCCATCGGTCCTTTAAGAATCAGCCTTTCCCATGCCGTACCGCGAGAAGCTACTAATCGTCTCCGAGGCTCCCTCCGTGCCCCACATGCAGTGGTCCCCCTGCCGTCTGCCGATAAGCAGCCGCCCCGCCTGAGGAGACGTTTCACACCCCACCTGGGTAAGGTGCCGAGCGATGCTCGGTCTGCCCGAGGAGGATGCTACTAATCAACCGACGAGACCAACTCCTGCCTGACAGCTCGGTGGTTCGACATCCGTACATGGAACCCGACGAACTTCAAAGAGAGCGACGTCTTGCACTCCCACACCAGCTGGTGCAGACCCATCCTTTCCTTCCGAAAGGCAGGATGCTCAGTTCCCCACATGCAGATCACAAGTCCCAAGTGGGACACATATAGAACAAGTGCCTTTCCCACTGGTGCACCCACCGCTTCCTACCCATGTCTCACAATTTTCTCTCAGGACAGTGTGTGCCACTCCCCCTATTGTCCATACACAGTGGCTGGTTCTTTTTCGTGAGCATCTTCAAGGGTGAGCTAGTTTTCCTTGGGGTCTGGCAACTCCCTTCATTCCCTTATCTTCCTTCGTCTGTCCGTTCATAGGGTAGGATTGTTCCTTCTCGATTACCATTGTGTTCATGTTGGTTCCTTCAAGCATTTTAAGTGTGTAGTGCATGATCCTGCTCGGCTCAGAAGAAGAAGGAGAGAAGAGCACCCAGTCGGCCGGATCACTCCGCCGCGGGATTTCATTGGACCCCGGCCTAGGCCGAAGCACCAACCGCCTGCCAGGTAACCGGAGCCCCTCTTTCACACGAAGAGGAGGGGTCGACCTACGACTCGCCCAAGGCTTCCCCGGACTGGCGAACACCAGCACTGGACGAAGGGGGGTTAGAGCCACTCCACCGAGGAGTAAGTTGATCAGGTGCACAACATGCATGTTATACCTCCAGGCCTGTCCATGCCATGCGCCCAACCACTCTCAAGTCTAATTCTCTCGAGAGAAGGAGCATGCACAAGTCCGAATTTATTCTCTTTGGTTATGTACACGATCATGCGTCAGGCGCCCCCTCCGGAATCGTAAGGGTCAATTTAACCCTATACCCGACACCTCCACCATTTTTTGTAGGGCCGTACCCTGTTAGACTTTCGAGTCTGAGTCGACACCTTTGCGGGTCCCATTTGGCTCGACCCGCCCACGCTCACGCTCGGGCCGCGGGTCGTTCGTTACAGGGGCACCCCCACCTAGTGCTATGAGATGGATGGGGATGAGCCATTTGTTAGAGGGCTTTATATTGGGGGATGTAGCTCCGCTCTAGCGCTAGATGGTAGCTTTATGGTCACTCGCGGCATTTCCTTGATTTACTTAGATGTGGCCAGGCAATTCTTCCTTCCAATACACATGCAGTCCAGAGGGGGTTTATTGAGGGTTTTTCTTCGTTTTGTGCTTAGGCCAAGCGTCATCCTTGGGCCACGCACCTTTTCCCTAAGCACAACAATCCCCATGGCATCATCGGGGCGATGCGGCACCATCCATCCACTAGCCCCTATTTTTTTTTTTTGCTTGACACATGCATTCGATTCACATATCCGTCGCTCGCCCTTAGTCCTTTCGGGCTTCCATATTGCATGCAAGGAGTCAAGACACGCACTTATCATGCCGAGTCACACCCCCCCTGCCCCTTTTTTTTTTTATCCCTTATTTTCCAAGCATCCTACACCAAGGCCTGCCCGCGTTTGGAGTTCCCACTAGGCCCATGGCCTTCCCATCCGATCCTTTCTCTCCTTCGCTCGCGCCTAGTCCCGCTCAAATCATCCTAAACCACTCACCTGCACAGTCCCACACAAAGCAAAGACCAGTACAATCCCCTAATGGGGTCAACACGTTGCCCTTCCCACAAGCCTAAGTTACTTTCCCTTCCGAGGTCCTTTCAACTTTTCCCTTCCTTCCCACAATCAAGCCATGCATTCTCCTTAGTCATGCAGTTGGGGGAATGGTTGAGTCAACTGACCTTGTGCCAAACTCTCATTCTTTCGCTTTTCTCGAGGATCTTGCCTTCCCAATCCCTCAAAGGTTTTCCTTTCTCCTTCTTGGTGGCGCAAGGGACCAGCTACCCTCCCCTTGCCCTCTTTCTCCACCAAGTGAGGGCAACTTCTTTCACCGTTCGTTCCCTAGCAATGTAACAAGTGAGGGGGTTAGTCACGTGCCAAGAAGGAAGAGGAAGGGGGGAGGAAGAGGTGAAGGTTCTAAGGAGAGAGAACGGAAGAGAGGGAGAGAGAGAGAGAGAGAGAGAGAGAGAGAGAGAGAGAGAGAGAGAGAGAGAGAGAGAG